ATGAGCTCCCTGTTTGGGCTGTTAACTTGGGCCAATCAGGGAGTCCTGGAGGACAGATATTAACAGGAGGTCACTGTAGGAACTGGCCCTGGGCTAGCTGGGTCAGTGTCATATACTGTGCACCTGTAAATAAAAGGCAACTTGGTGATGGGACACTGGCCTTAGTGGAGTTATGTCAGTAAGCATATCTCTACACCACTGAATGTAAGGGACATAGATGTGAACAGAAATAGCAGATGTCTGGTTTAGCAATTCTGCACTGGATTTCATCGGGTGACAAAGCACCACCAGTTTTGAATAAATTGAATCATTGAATCCCTACAGTGTGGAAGCAGGTATTTTAGCCCATGGAACCCACACCAACCCTCTGAAGAGCATCCCCCCCCAGATTTGTCCCTCTACCCTATCCCTGTAACTTGGCATTTCCCATGGCCAATCCACCTAATCTGCACATCCCTAGACTGTGGGAGGAAACCCACGCAGACACAGGCAGAATGTGCAAACTCCACATGGACAGTTGCCCGAGGGTGGAATCAAACTCGAGTCACCGGCACTGTAAGGCAGCAGTGCTAACCACTGAGCCACCATGCCACCCCACAGTATTGCTTTCATCCAGCAAAAACTACTCACTGAACACTAAGCTAACTATGCCTTCCCTCCTCAAGTCAGACTATCTTCTTAAACCTTCTCCCTGTCTCCTCCACCCAACTAAAATGAGGATCTCATGGGCTTCTTTGTGCTGGATTTAATGTTACTGACAGGGGTCTTGCCTATCTGTTGAAAAACTGTTGGGAGCAGTGGGGCGATTCTTGACCAAATTAAGTGCTTCTCACTTAAGGCAGGAGTAGGGGGAATCAGAGGTGACAGTGGCAGATGTGAATTTCAGTGATGTTTTTCCCTTTCCCAATATCAGATTTCTTAAATGGATGCTGATGGACTGTTAACGAGGGACCACTGTCCCCTAAACCCAGCAGGTCGCTAGCAAATCCAAGGCAATGTGGTGGAGAACTTTTGGGTTGGCACAGGAAAACTAAGTGGCCTCTATTTAATTTCTGAGCCGCCATTAAATTCCAGTGTGCTCTGTTTTTTTTAAGGCTAATTGGCTCATTAATGATTAATGAGCCAAACTATCAGCCAGCTATGTGCAGGCAAGTTTCTCACATGAGCCCCCTCCCAGCCCTGGCTTAATTGCAGGAGGTTTTCCTGCAGATTAACTGATGTGAGACTGGCACAAAGACTAGCCTGGAATAACTGGCCCTGGCTCCCACCTCCAACAGGCTAGATTAAATCAATCCTTTATTGCTGAAAATGAGACCATCTACTAAGTTGCGTCTGCCACTTCGTTCTGTCATTCACTGGGCCAGACTTCGTCTGAAATTCATCCTCTGTCCAAGCCTTGAACTATCATCTTACTACAGTTTATCAGTTAGTTACCCTCCTATTTGAGACTACCTTATCTATGGAATCAGCCCTTGCTTACTAGAATGCTGTTCACTGCACTTCCTTTCCTGGGAGTCTCCCATGTTAGGCAATAATTTTCTGTCTCCTAGGGTATGTAAGAACCTAAGAAACAAGCTGGTATAGGCCACTTAAACCCCCCAAGCCTTACTACGCCATTCAATAATATCAAGGCTGATCAGATTGTGGGCTCAATGCCACTTTCCTACCTGACCTAATATCCCTTGACTCCTTTTGAAGGTTAAAATTTCTCTAATTCAACATTGAATATACTAAAATACCTAACCTCACTGGGAGCGCGCACTGAAAATCAAGCACCACGGTTTCCAGAGTCATCACAAAAATTAAAGATTTTATAAAAGTATGCACAATTCCGCAACTTAACTGTCTTTTAGACCCAGGTTGACAGAAGCATGGACCAGGTTTCAGCCCTCAAGAATCAAATTATAACAAAGAAATCCATTCTAACTACAAATAAACAATGTGAACTGTTGACATATGATTCTACTGAATAAAATTCCAACCCCCTTAAAGATCTTCCTCTACACATACGTAGTACAACAAAATGGGTGTCTTGACAGACAGAAAGACTTAACTGCCTTTCCAATGGTCTTTATCCACACGTTTCTAGGATATGCTGCTCCTCTATTTTCCTACTCCAGGTACTTTCACTTACTTGCAAGATGTAAAAAGTGACAGATTCACACTCATAAAGTCTGAATTCTCGGTTAAAAGACGCAGACTGCAACGTTTAACAAAGGGAATTAGCAGGCTTTCTTCAGGGTTGAGGTTAGTTTTTAACTGTGAGTAAAGCACATCTCCTTCCTTTTCGGAGCTCTGAATGCTTCTGCCCAAAAGTTTACATCCACAAGCTGTTCAGCTACCTGGGAGCCAGTCACACAATTGGTGGCAGCAGAAGGCTTTGTCATCGACTATGGACCACCATTCCTCAGATTAATCAGTTACTTGTTACCAGTTGAATCTCCAGTTGTGCACACCAGGTCATCTGCAATGAGACTTCCACTACTGCTTGATCAAACAGCAACGCAAACAGTATTTATCATGTCAGGTAACTTGCTTTGAAGAAGTGCAGTAGTCCTTTCTGCATTCCTTGCTTGTTGTTTGAAAACAGTCCTTTTCCTATTTCAACCCACAGTCAAAATAAAGGAAAAAAAATGGTCGTTACCCAAGCAGCAGTGGAGATGTAGAGATTTCTTTTTTATTCATCATATGTGGACATCACTGGCTAGGCCAGAATTTTTTGTTTCTCCCTAATTTGCCTTGAGAAAGTGGTGGTGAGCAGCTGTCGTGAGCAAATAGACCCTAATTTTGTTCTGTCAAGGTGGGTTTCACTCTGGGATCTTACGTACAATCCCCACTGATGCTAACACTGGATAACAAAGTGGGGGCTTGTTTGGGATAAAAATCCGTGAATTTTATGAATCCTTTTTAAAAACTTACATGGAGGTATTGGACATATTAATGAGTTGCTGTGAAGAATATTACACAGATTGGAATTTTAAAATGACTGACTGTTGCTAATACTCTTCTGGGAGTAGAAGATGTAACAGTCAATTATTTAAAATATTTGGTCAGAAATTTTAAAAAATCTGAACTTGCTAAGACAAGAGTAAATTATTTCGGTCACTCCATGGGACAAGGCCAGCAGCATCTAGGGAAGCAAAAATAAAGACTGTCTCCAGACTTGGTATGGGCACATTACTGCAGATGCTGGAATCCATACTGAAAACAAAAAATCCTGGAAATCACGGTGGATCAAGCAGCATCAATGGAGAGGGAGAGCAAGCTAACATTTTGACTCTAGATGACTCTTCATCTGTGATTTCCAGCATTTTATGTTTATGTACTATCTCAAGACCTGAATGTTCCAACAATTCCAGATTCTTCCTGGATGGTCTCCCATTTCTATGGTGCAAAACTTTAAGAATCCATTGTGAATTCAAGAATTTTTGGATTTGAGAAAGAAAGTTGATGGAAATAGATTAGTTTAAGATTGGGGAAGATTTATTAAACATAAAAATATAAATCATAACAAACTAAGTAATGGTTAACAGGCTGCAACAAACTTTATTTCCCATGTTAACTGTGAACATGGAACACTACTCAGCTTGGACTCTGGTGCCTCTTCCTATCTCTGTCTCGGTGGATACTGATTCTTCCTGTCTCTCTTCTGTTGTGATGTTCCTTCCCCAATGTGGGATGAGCCCTTGACTGTGTTCTTTTACCCGGTTTTGGATTTGAGAGTTGCCACATGCATGGTTCATTCCTAACCAATGGTTGGTTCTAGTTGTGCATGGTAGCTCTTTGATTGGTTCATTATCAGTTTAACTCTTCATATGACCAAAGTTCATACATAATTCTTACAAGGCACCTTTCGAATGACCGTCAACAGTTGACATATGTGGTTCCTTTCTGTACAAATGGGTAAATTCTTTACACACTCAAATAAAAGCAAAGTACTGTAGATGTTGGAAATCTAAAAGAGAAACAGAAAGTGCTGGAGAAACTTGCCGTGTATCGGACTTAAAACTATTTCTCCCTATCCAGATGCTGCCAGACCTGCTAAATTTCTCCAGTTCTTTGATTTTATTATAAATTATTTTTGCGTTTGGCATGTGGACATTTCCCTTTTGTAGGCCTTTCCCTTTTTTTTTTACAGAAACATTCTAATTAATTTTAGGTTGTCTTCTTCGATCAACATTTCAATAGCCAAATGATTAAGTAAAATTAGACCTGTAATTTGTCAGTAATACAATTAAGATCAGGAGTTTCGAACAAATTTGATTTTATAATTATCTGAATTTATTGTATATATGTGGATAAATTAAAACAAGTATAGTTAGTTGCCACTTTGTGAACTATGAGGTCCTTTTTTTTAGGAAAGTAGGTTTGCGCACCATTAAATTTTCACTCGTTCTACACCTCAGGAACTTTAAACTCTAGAGATTCAAATGTCAAAAAGATACATTGTGGTTATAGTAGTTACAATGATGAAATGTTAACATGGTCAGATATTTGTTTGATTCTGTTACAATTGGCCATCTAAAACTCTGCTGTCCATATGCTAGCTTACGTCAATTGTGGTTCACTTATTATGCTTATGTTTGCTGGTTCCTAGTTATGCAACATCTCAATCTTATAATCCTAATTGTTATTTCCAATCCCTCCATGGCCTTATTGATATCAATCTGTAGTCTCCTCTGGAATTAATTTGATAATCATCTAATGACTGTATACTTGTATCACAAAATAGGTAAAGGGGCATCAAGCTTGATCCAATTCATTCCTTGGTACTTTTTGAGGTGGCCAAGAACTAGATTGGGTTTTGCATTTAAATAGTTTCTATAAAATCATTGGAGACTAATTCTGCATCTTTTCTATCATTATACCAGCGTAACAAGGGCCTGCTGTTATTCAAAAATATGTTACTTCTTTATATAAAAAAGAGTAAATGTGCCAAATCAAAGATGTCCATAAATGGATCATTTTAATGATTTTGATTGGCTACTTTTATTTTCCAGAGGGATAACTTGATAAGCACTCAAATAGTAATTGACCTTACGGAAGATGATGAACAGTATATTGACAATCAAGTAAGGAAAAAAGGTATTCATGACTTTTATTTTTATTCAAAGTAATAAGTGAAAATCACTTTCTTAATGTTGGAAGCTTCACTTTTGAATTATGGAGGTAGTTTAACATGCAACATGAGTAATTAAATACATTGCTAAATTGGGTTTTATTAATTAGCAGAATTGTAGTGCCACACAGTATGATGGGGTATGTTCCTAGTGTGAAAATGTGATTTCTTCTCCACAAGCAGGGCTCACAGCTGTGAGTAACATCGTGGACAAATGCACGTGCAACAAATAGAATGAGATTAAGTAAATTCCTTTTTGTTGTTTTTCTCATTAATTGTCACAAATCCAGTCTGTCAATTATATCCTTGAGGACTCAGAGTTTGGTCAGTATTGGTGCTGCTAAGCCACACTTAGTGATGGACATCAAAACCTCCACCCACCAAGAATGCATTCTGTCTTCCTACTGTCCTTTTAAGGTCATAAGAAGTAGAAGCAGAATTGAGTCCTTTGTCCCATTGAGCCAGGACTGCATTTAATACAGTCAGAGCTGATCTTTTTGTAGTTTAAACTGCATTTTCCTGCCTGACCCCATAACACTTGACCTCCTTGTCTCCTTCCTCCAAGTGTTTGGAGCACTAATTGAACAGCTATGTGATGGTGGTAGATGGAGATCAGCAGGTGTTGCTCTTGCTCATGCTTGATCTGATTCTGTGAGACTTTGAGGCCCAAAGTCATATTGAGGACCCCCCACGCCACTTCTTCCAGATTGTACATCAATGCTCCCCCGTTTTCGGCGTGTCAGTCTGTCTTAGTGAGACAAGACGTGCCCTAAATAATGACGGAATTGTCTGAGACATTGACTGTAAGGTATGATTTGGTGAATATTATTGTGTCAAACGATTGCTTGACTACTGTGTGGGACAGCTCTTCCAATTTTGGCACAAAAGTACGCAGATGTAGTGTGAAGGATTTTAGCAGGTCAGCTGGGCAGGATGTGTCTTTGTTTCTGTTGCTTGATTTCATGCCACAGGATCTATTATGTTTCATTCTTCAAATTTCCTATAGTAGCTGTGTACAGTGGAGCATCTTGCTTGGCAGTTTCAAAGGGCTTTTAAGATTCAACCACAATGTTATGGATCTGGAGTCATATGTAGGTCCAACATGGTAAAGATGGCATATTTAATATGGCTTCTCCAACAATAATAGTTTTCTGATTGTTGTGGAAACTACTTTTTATAAATTTATGCATTACTTCATTCTAAATTGCCCTAGCTGTCATGAACTTATGCCTTCACAGAGCATTAGGCTGTACCTCTGTACCATCCAGTAACATTGCCATAATAAGAGTTCAGAAGAAGAGTATGACTGGACTTGAAACATTTAATTCTGTTTCCGTCTCCACAAATGCTGCCAGACTTGCTGAGTTTCTCCAGAATTCTGTGTTTGCTGCAGCTTGTAGAATCCTTGACAAAAGCGAAACAGTGATACTGTTTTTGTTCTTCATAGTTTAAAAAACCTTAATGAATTCCAGCTGATGTCCAGTATTGGGTTTGATATTTTCCAAGATAGCTACACTTCAGGAAAAATGTCAAGACCTTGAAGAGGATGCATATGTTAATAATCTGCATATCATTTGTAAGACATTTTCCTACTCAACCTGTTCAGAGATGTTATTACACAACTCTGGAGCAAGTGAGACTTGAACCCAAGCCTCCAGGCTCAGAGGTAGGGAAACTACCATTGTGACATTATACCTCTCATATCATTTGTAATTGTAAAATTTTTATTGTATTTGCATGGTGAGCATTAATTGGAGACTCACCTGTGTTCATAATAGACTGAGAATGTCATTGTTGGTTGGAGATGCACAAAATGTGTTATGGCTAGGTTTCTTGTATTATTTCACTACTTTGCTTTGCAAGTTCCAACAAGATAACAAAGGATAGTGGCCTGAAGTTTGAAAATTGCATTTTTTTTTTTTTGAAGATGTAAATTGAACTCTAGTAGTCAATATGAAAGATGAGAGAAAGCAAAATTAAGTTGTCATCACAATTCTCTTATGATGATCCTTAAGTCTGAGCCATAACATAGTTGATGATGTGAGCACAGGTTATTACACTATCAAAGATAAAAACATTCCTTGGTGAAATTTAGTGGACTGTTGAATCAGGTCACTTCATAGTGGTTTCAATGTACTTTTTTTTATTATGGAGCAGATCACTCATTTTACCTCCAGCTTGAACAAGAAAGCAGGTTTTCATCTATCTTTTCAGACACCATACAATCGACCAGCCACTCCTGTAATTGCATATCCTCCAGAAGCCCTGCTGCTTCCTGCACAAAATAAAATCAAAGGAAGGTGTTTCCTGAAATGGATTCCAGTCCGTTGAATAGTGATGAAGGTTTGGACTTTCTAACAGATCCCTGAACGGAATCTGTAAGAAGTAAATCGCCTGTAAGGCCTCATCAGAACTTAATGGATTTTCAGAAAATCAACGCACATTCTTTGGGATGTTTTCATTAGGGACTTTAAACTGTCAAGCTTCTGTAAAAATTATTAATTTTAAATAATACTGGATTTCTTCTACCATTTAAATGACTAGATTGTGTTAATGTGTCTCACATGGACAGGCAACTAGTTCTACCTCACAGGATCACTATTATTACAGAACAGGCGGAGGCAATTTGGCCCATGGCTGTCCAAATGCATAATTCACTTTGTCATTCCTCTGCTTTCTGCCTGAAACTGTGCACATTCTTCCTTTTTCAGGTAATAATTCAATGTCCTTTTGAATAACTTGATTGAACCTGCCTCCAGCACACACTTTCTGATGTCTGGTTCTTGGAGAAGAAGAGTCTGTTGTTCAGAAGTCTACCACCTTATACTTCCTGGGGAAACTGTTTTCTTTCAACTTTCTTGGAACAAATCAGTCATTCTGCTGTAACACATGGAATAGAGGATTTGATCTTTACCAGGTTTTGAAATAGCCAGATACCAGACACAGATGTCAATGGCCTGGAAGGATTAAAGAAGATTGTGATGAAAACAGCAATAAGTCTAGTTATATCAACAGAAGGTGAAATTGAAACTCTAACAATGAGCAAATAGATGCCAGGAATTGCCAGAATAACAATGAAATAAATTGCTCAGAGTAAAGAGACAAGTTCTTTGAAAGGACACATGAAAAAGAAAATTCTGAACAAGTGTATGAACATAACCTGAATCTGATCTAATCCCATGGAGTTTTAATGCTGTAGTTAATGAATTAGTCACAAATTCCTTTAATTATGTGGTCTCAGGTAGTGTACTTGCTTCAAAATTTTTTGGCGTAGGTTCATGAATATATTGATTCACTTCAGTACTGCGTGTGTGGTTTGCCAGACTGAATTTTTTGAATTGGAACCCGCGTTGGAGGTTGGGCCTGAAAATCCTGTGAAGATAGGATCCCAATCAGAAGATTCAAGACAAACCCCATTGAGTACAGTATCATTGTATTAGATTATCTGAGACAGAACTCAATTCAGACAATTTGCTGTACTATAAAAGAGAAGTTAATAAAGAAGGACAATACCATGGGAAAGTGATGGTAAAACAGTACTTGTCAAACATGGTAATCTAATTAATGAATTTCATTCTTCTTAATGAGTTGGAATTAATAATAAAATCTTGACACTTGCCAATGTAAAGAAGTAGAATTGTGGTACATTGCACCACAATTTTTTTTTTGTAAAGCTGGGCTTGGGGAACAACACAAAGTGAATGAGAGGCTTAATAGAAGTAATGTGAATGATCTTAAAGCACAGGACAGCTGTCTCATCCACAGGTCAGTTACCTACAGTGTACACATGGCTGACATGTTACAGAATGGAGAGATGCAGTGATTCTGGAAGAACTATTGGTGAATTTAAATTTTACTTAGCCATCATCCTGAACAGTTAAGACATGAGGTCGATGGATAATAGAGTGGAGGAAATGTGTGGAAAGTAAGTAAATACAGTATAAGTAGTGATAGCAAGTTTGGAAAGAAGATGGGTGAGTCAGTTTGGTGGTGATATCAAAGGCTACTAATACAGAAGCCTCAGATAATGCTTAAGGACACAGCCTTAAGTCTTCCCATGGCAGCAGGTGAAATTTTAATTTCAATTAATAAACCTGGAATTGGATGATGGTCTTAGTAATGTAATTGGCTGTGACTATGATATTAAAGCCTACCTGGTTCACTTATGACTTTTTTTCAGAAAGTTCGTCTGCCACTCTTACTTGGCCTATTTGTGACTCAAGATCACAGTAGTGTTGTTGACTCTTAACTGCTCTCTGAACTGGCCTTCCAAGCCACTCAGTTCAAGGGCAATTAGGGATGGGCAACAAATGCTGAGCCTTCCCAGCAACACACTCATCCCATGAAAGAATAAAGAAAAAAAGTAGCTCAAGTCTGAAAATGAACACAAAGTACATTAGAACATTAGAAAACTAAACTTCAAGCCCTTCAAGCAGCCCTGTCATTCAAGAAAATGGCTGATCTTCCCAGGCCTCAACTCTTCTTCTCATACTTCTCATAGCCCTCAACTCTCCAATTCTTCAAAAATCTAATAAACTCCTCTTTAAATACTTTACGTGATCTACCCTGCACATTCTTTGGAGTAGAAAATTCCAGATATTCGCTACCCTTCACATGTCAGTTTTAAATGAGCATACTCATATTCTGTAACTATGTCACTTAATTCAAGATTGCTCCACTATTGAAACATCTCAACACCTACTTTGTCAACCCACTTAAATCTTGGTATAATTCAAAAATATCACCCTAATTTTTCTAAATTCTAATGAAGAAAGGCCTAACCTATTTAGCCATTCTTGACGAATCAACCCTTGCATCCTAGGAATCAACCTAGTGAAGTGTCTCTAATGCCAGTGTATCCTTTCTTAAATACAGGGATCAAAACTGTATGCAATAGCCCAGGGGAAGCCTCACAAACACACTGTAATATTTGTAACAAGACTTACCTATTTTTAAACTCCAATCC